ATACTGGAAACGACATATCCATTTGTACACTATGTCTTAGAGAATCTTTTTTTTTTCCTGCTAGTGTGGGTGGGTGCCTGCATCTATGTGAATGTAGTACTCCCTGAATAATATCAGAACTCATGGTGTGGTAAATTGGCACTATAAATATACTTTTACTTTCATTTCAGCAACATGGGATTTATTTTGAAAACCGAAGTATCTTCTCTACTTTAATTCTCTGATTTTTTTTATTGGAGTTGGATGCTAAATAATTAATTATCTTTAAAAATGAAGATACTTTGTCATCATAATTAAATTCACATAAAAATATATCTCTTTTAATAAGCAATGCAGCCAGTAGCTTTGTGTGAAATTCAAGTACTCATTCAACTGAGCCATTTGGCAGATCTGGAGAAATACTGCCACTGTGTTTTCAGGGCATATGGCAAAGCTCAGTAAACCTAGAATCAAGTTTTAATGTACCTAAAGTGGAAAAAAAGCACATACTGCAAACAAAGCATGTAAGCATTGTAAAGTGTGATTCAGTAGCAACAATCTTGAAGATAAGCACCTGTATCGCACTCTGCGTACAGAGGTATATAAATGTAATGAAGTATGTCCGTGTATCACTGCTGTGCATTAAGTGTCTAACTTCTGCACATTTAGCTAAAAAGTTTGAGGATTTGAACTAAAAACAACAACAATAAAAAAAACACGAAAAAAAACCCCAAAAACCCCAGATTTCTGTTAAGGAACACATCGAAATACATTTAATCCATATCCTAATGATCTGTCAAAGATTAAAGTGCACTACATTGAGGAAACATGCAGTAAGCATCCTAAGCAAACTGGGGATGAACCACCCATGTCTAAAATGTTACACCCAGTAACTTTGCTTTTTACTTCACGGCAGTCTTCATTTGAATATTACTTTAGATTTTAAGATTTCTGGATGGCTAACATCTGCTTAGATGCGTATACATGGCACAAGATGAACTACTTGTTGAGATCCCATAAGGTTCTGCAGCTTGGCTGGGTCGTTAAAGTCACTCCTAGGAACACGGTGTTTTTTCTGATCTCCTTTACTGAGGTAATCTCTTCACTGTACTTTTGTGTACCAAGATGCACTCATTGAAATAATTCCTAGTAATTCTGCCCTTTTTCAACATAACAAAAAAGAGAACAACTTGAGATCAGAGCCCACCTCAATTTCTTGATATGAACTGTTGATCATAGCAATCAGCATGTTGAGCAGAACTACCACCATCGTTACATTGTATATGCCATAAAGAACATAACCGATGTTCTCTATGAACTTATGATCATATTTGAGGACAACAGAGGTTACTTCAGACAAGCCAAATATTGACCAAAATAAGGTCTTGAAACTTTCTTCCACTCTGTAGGTTAAAAAAGAGGAAGGCATTATTACTAACCACACAAATACATATGTAAGTTGTGTTTACACTAAGTGATAAACAATCTCAAGCAATTGGTCTGTGAACCAGGTTTGTAGAGCACTGATCAAAATAACAAACATGCAAGAAAATATTTTTCAATTTCTCCACTGTGCTCCCCCTAAGCATCATAGATAATATAGTTGTAACCATACAGGCAAAACAGCAGTCCAGGAATTAGAAAGGTATTCTGTTTCCAGGTTTTGAGATGAAGCATATTCTCATCTCATTATTTTCCAGCCTAACTCTGCAGGGGGCAGACCGTCCCTGTCCTAATGAAGCTAAAAATGGGGCTGTTGGGAAGGAATCTGCTGGACTCCTCTCAAGACCTTCTGATTAAACCTTCCATTAAGAAGTGGGCACTCAGAAGTGGGTAGCAGCCAGTTCAGCAATAAAACAGACAAATCAAATGGATTTCATGGGATTTGCTCAAGACTTGTTGAAATCAGTAGGAGCCAGGCACTTCAACAAGAGCCAGGCACCTAGATACCCTTAAGGCCCTGGGTCCAGGACCCAGTGCCTCCGTGCTCCTCTCCATCCCACCGTCGGGGCCATTCCTGAGGAACTGAGCTGGCAAGGGCTCTCAGACAGCTCATCAAGCCTTCAGGGCCTTTGAGAGTGGATCCTCTTCAAGCTCTCCTCCTCATGCTGCCATTCCTCTTTCCACTCAGGAAACATTGCTACAGGTTGACTTGTCATGCAGACAGGACACAGCTCACTGCAAAGCTCTGTCCCAGCACACCAAAAGGTGGGATACTGAATGCAAGTTAAGAGATGCTGATATTCAATAAAGATTTTGATGTGCCTTCCATTGTACCCTGCAGAATTTACTGGAAATAACTTCCTCTGTGTTGCCAAAAAGTGAACCGACAGCTGTATTTTAATAACTAAAATATGCCAAGTACACATACCTTGAATTACCTGTCTCAACACTTTTAAATGATTTTTAAATGCAAATATTATACAAATGGATGTATAATCTAGTAAAATAACATGGCTGTTTAAGAAAGGAATATTAATAAGCATTCAAATATTTCATTATTTATCTAATGAAAAGATAATGAGTAAGAATAAGTGCAAAAATCAGGCTCAAATTGGAGTCAATGGAGTCAACTACATGAAAATAAGGCAGTTTTTACAGAAGTCATGTCTCCTGTAGAAATATGGGAGAAAAGGAAGAGCTCTGAATTTCACCACCTTGTGGAATTACTTCTGGTTTGGAACATCCTAAATATTTATCACTTCCAGCATCACCTTGTTTCAAGAAGTAGAAAAAAAACCAAAACAAACAAGCAAACAAAAAACTCTGGAGATCATAGCAAGCAATTTCATTGCATGAAGAGAGACTTCAAACTACCATTCTTCTGTACTCATGTGACTAATGATGATACACAGTTATGTAGATTGTAAACCTGAATCCAAGAGAGTTCAATATAGTTTATAGATTTGTTTCAGTACTGGTCTAAGAGAGAAACATGCCACCTACAGAATCACACTCTCTGTTTCTTGACAAATTTAAATTATTTGGAGGTCTATTATTGACATCTAGGCTAAATCTCTGTGTGTATCAATTACATCTGACAGAGCCCAGTTAAAGATTACAATTCTAGCTGTTGCACGGGGAAAATGTCACTCAGAAGATAACAGTAATATTTTCTTGCAATTAGTTGTTCACAAGTCTGTATGATTAACATAATATACAGCTAAAACTATTTTAGACCGCAATGAAAGCTTTCATTATATAAGCAGGAAAGAACTGGTCTTTTGTATTCTGCTTCCCAGGGTTCTGAGATACCTGATTTCCCACTGACCTCAATTGTCTTCAGTTTTATTTTAATGCTAGGAGAGAGCATACAATATCTCACAGACTTTGCCATCTTAGTGAAAAACCTGAAAGTTTCATATCAGCTTTTTACTTAAACATAACTTCATACTTACGTTGTAAAGGCTGGGTTTAGTTTAGCTCCAAGGTAGTAGGAATACAGTATGAACATTCCAATCATAAATGCAAGAAATACCATAATAAAAAGGACCATGAACTTGAAGATGTCCTTAACAGTCCTTCCAAGTGAAATCTGCAAGGGTCCAAAACTCTCATTTGCAGGCAGGATATATGCAATCCGAGAAAAGCTAAGAACGACAGCAATTGCATAAAGGCCTTCAGATATTATCTGAGGATCAGATGGGAGCCATTTATCTCTAGCTGGAAGATATGAAATATAGGGGTAAATATAAGAAGTTACTCATTTATCACAATGTTGAAAAATAAATCTTGATAGGATTTTTCCATGAACATGTCTGAGTTTAGTTGAGACAAATATTTGAAGAGCCTAGTAGTTCCTACTCTATTCCTATTTCCTTTAAGTCACAAATGATGAATATAAGTTACATTACCTTTTGATAGAAGAAAAACTATACCTGAAGAAACATGACATTTTCTTCTACAGTTTGCATTTTAACCTATGTAGCAATAAATCACTCGTTATTGTTCAACACAACTGTATTATTAGCTATCTTAATAAGCACTATGCTAATGCCAGAAATTTATTCATATTTTGAGTTTTATTGATGGGAAGTGTTAGTTGATGAACAATTTCATTTATTAATCACACTAAGCTTTTGCCATTGTTACAAGTTCAGGATATAACGTAGTTCCCGTTGAAATCATGAACTCTTTTGCCATTTACCTCAATGGAAGTAGGATCGTGGGGTTTTTTTTGTTTTGGTTTGGTTTTTTGGGTTTTGTTTTGTTTTTTTTTTTTTTTACACACAGCATGCACAGAAACAATTTGAGTTATATATAGATTCATAAATTGTTTATTACATGAATTAATGCAGCATCTTAGCAAAATAACACTGAATTGACATGTGTTTCCTATCAAAATACCATGTGTTTCTAAACGTGTATTTACATATGTACAAATTCAGATTCGTTATATAGCTATTAACGTAAATAACAAAACCAAGCCTGCTATTATAACATATTGAAGTTCATAAAGCATATGCTAAAATACACCACCAGCAGCAAATACAGCCTTTGCTGGTGTTGCAAACGGAGATTCATCACACCTTTAATTACTGCACTGTAGTAACTATTTAGTACTTTTATACTATTTGAGCAGATCTTTACTGGTCCAGCATCCTTCCTTTGGTGGGAAATGCTGATAGATCTTTACAAACATGAATAACTATCAAACAACTGAATAAAAAAAAAACCCACATCAAAATTTTATCTGTTGTTCACTAAGCCAAGAATAAAATATAGCTTGCAAATTCTTAAAATCAAGAGGGTCAAATTTAGCTCTAGGATAAACAGTTACAACAAAATTATGGACAGCTACCTTTGAACTGATTTTGTCCTTATGCCTACTGTTTGGTTTTAATACATTAGCAAACTTATTTGTCAAATTAGCATCGTAACAACTGTTGTTTAAATAGCATAGAAACAAAAATATTGGGGCAGAAATGGTTAGCCAATGCTATGAACACAAACACATGCAAATATTCACTTTAAGGCTTTGAAATGCTAGTGCATCCTACCAGTTTTTCTATGTTCAGATCTGTGTTGCAGAAAAGTTAAACTCACCGTAAGTAAAATACTCTATTTCTGGAGGAAGCGTGACCTCAGAGAGGTCATTCTCCTCAATGTAGTTGTCCACATATTGCTGTGCTTTTGTGGCCTGCAGGAATACCAGTTTTTAGAAGCCTCGCTGTGAAAGCGGCAATGAAAATGGACAGCATCCCAAAATCCAAAACATTCCATAACTGCAAAATATACTCCCTGGGTCCTTCCAGCCACAGCTCTTTGCATTCTGACCACATCATACCTGCAAGAAGAAATGAAAAAAACATAGCAATATTGGCCAAACTCTTTTCATTTAAACTCCCCGCATTCTCCCATTTCATGAAACCAGGCAGTACCAATGGAACAAAAATTCACTGATTTGCAGTGTCACAGCAACATCATACACCTTGAGTAAGGTTCTCTTGGTTTCAACAGGGTTGATCAAACGGCAAGGTTATTAATTGATATGCAGAATAAACCTCAGACATCTCCACATAGGGTAGCATAGAGCCACGACTTCGCAGTGGAAGTATTACAGCCTAACAACATAACAGTGTGCTGTACTTCTAAAGAAGGAAAAATGTTAAATGTGGAAAAAGAAATCCTCTCACTTCCTTACCATTTACATTCATAAAACACCTCTGAATTAGAAGGATTAATTTTTACAGAGGACCCAACTACACAGATGGCCAAATATCAAGGGCACAATTACACTACTGGTTCTCCACTTTACAGAATAAAATGCTTTTCAGCAGAGAAAGTGGAATTTAGCTATGTGTAACTCGGTTTTCTTACTCAAACTTCCCTCAGAAATTCATTTACACAGATTAAATTCAGATCATAGTCTCATCATAACCTTGAGATGTAGTTGTTGGGAATCAAGACTTCTTACTTCAAAAAAAGTTTCTTAGGGAAAAAAAAAAAAACAAACAAACAAACAACAAAACCATAACCCCACAAATTTTTTTCTTGTTTCCCTGGTTGGGTAATTCAGAGGGGGTACTGCTGCTATCCCAGCCATACGCACAGCAGCCACACGCTGGATTGGCTTGAGGCTGGTTGTCTCTTGAATACTCAAGAAATTTCTCACAGTGATGGAGTCCTAAAGACCACCAAAATCTCAGTCCTCGCCTTCTGTCAAATAAAGAGGCTGTTCACCACAAGTATGTGCTGGGACTACCAAAAGGCAGCGTACGAGGGATATGCATCTCCCTACCCCAGCATACAAGGGATATACATTTCTCTAGCCTAACACAGTTTAAGATAAAGCAGTGCTTAAACCAGGAGATACAGGCAATTCAGAAGGCAGAGTGAGGCACCTTCATGTAGCAGCCACAGTAACACTTTTCTCTTCCACAGCCCGTAAAACTGAGAACACTATGTTATCATGGGGCTCACTGACATTTTGCTACGTAAAGCACCTGACTTGGATGAAATGCTAGAAGATAGCACTCTCTGCCATACAGAGTTTCAAACAGGCTGACAGCTGATCAGGTTTTGTGGAAAACTGAGTAATGAGAACTGACTCATTAGCCCCTCGACACTGGTAGAAACTGTGATTTCCCCAAATGCTACGTATGCAGCAATGCCACATAAGCACTGATGTGCTAGCACGTTAACACCGAGCAGAAGGAACTCCTCACCTTCTGGCATGTACAGCAGCGTAGGCTTCCTGATACTATTTAAGAAAAACACTTCAGTAAAGTATAATTTCTGTGGTGTTCTCTTTGACAAACCTGTGCTCGTGTTACAAATGCCAGAATTACCAAACAGTGTGGCCAATCAGCAAATAAAATTTTACCCCATGCTGCAAGAGAGGGCAACACAGAGATGCTCTGACCCACTCACCAGTTCTAATGCACTGTTATCTGCCCTAAGGGTTTGTTCTAACCATGCAGCAGCTGGAGGAAAGGTTTGGGACCTGGGCTTCTCTCCTTTCTTTTTGAATTTCTATCTGCAGGAAAACAGTTGACATAAAGACGAAGGGGCAATATACCTACCAAGTACCCATACCATGATCAGCATTTCTGTCCAGGTGAACTGGGTAGTCTTCACCCTAAAGATCTGCTTAGGGTAATCAGTAACTGTGACATTCGGTAGCGTTGTTATACCTTCAAATCTGTCTGAGGCATTGAACACCAGCAGGCCTAGGAAAATAATGAAGGATGCTGCATGTGCCACAAATTTCATAAATGGGCTTCGAAGAATTCTTCCAAGCTGCAAAGGCAGAATGAAAGCAGTCACTCAGTTCTCTCAAAAAAACAAACTCATCAGGCATTCCAGAAGCAAAAATAGGTACTTGGAGCTCAGGACAGTATGAAACCTCAGTTTTAAAGGATAGTCTTCCAAGTGCACTGAACTATGATGCTTTACCATTTTAGACAAAAGTCTCCCAAAGGCAGCCTCAGGGAGCATGTTGTCCTGTTAGTAAATGTTCATGTTATTCCATAAACTCTAGATGCCAATGTTTAAGGGGAAACACTCCAAGGAATTACAAATGCACAATAGCAGTGACCAGAAAGAGTTTGATCTAATGGCCACAGATACCAATAGGGGGTGGAAGCAAGCCCAAGGAAAATAAATAAATGAATAAACAAAATCTCCAAGTAGCAAAATGCTTTCGCTACCAACAAGAGCATACTACTAGCTTGGCTATGACTATAGCTCTAGGAAAAATCACAGTCTCATCTCTGGCTACTGTATTCCATCTACAGAATATATGTTAAGAGCTACAAGTGCCAGATAAATAACCTGTCTCTACTAAAAATAATGACTGTTCCATCACAATGGACTAAGAAGGATAAGATCAGAAATATTACTACTTTCAAATAAATTCAGCTGATTTCATTCACACTTGCACCTGGTAGAGGGACAAAACAGCAACAACAGAGGCAGTCCATCTGCATCAGAAGAGAGGACCGGCTGCCTCCAGAAAACCACACTGGAAAGAGCAATGGCCTGTCCCTGTTACTCACTGGATGAAAAAGAAGAGTCTGTCATCCCATCAGTCCTAGCCTTATCCTGCAAGCCAGCATCCGAAACACCAAGCTATAAGCCCCCTCCTCTGCGGGCAATACTGCCAGTACCCTTTAGACAGACAGTGACGGTCTCGTGTGGCCAGTGCCGCCACAACTCCCCACTCCACAGTCAAAAAACGCAGGTGTCGGTGAGGCTGCACCACCAACAGCTATTTATGCGTGGCCTCAAAGACAGAGGTGGCACTGAAATTCCCTAAGGATGCTCTTTGGAGACCTCCTGGGGGGAATACACACGCAGGTTTACTTGTCCTTCCCAACCTTCTTCCCTTTGGGAGGAGTAGTGCTTTTGGAATACACCTCCTTTCTGTGGCCCGAGCAGGACAATGCTTGTCCCATCTCTGCATAAGGTGTGACAAGGTAGATGCTAGACAGACTTCTTTGTCTTAGCTGCTGCACTCCTCTTAAGGCCAAAGGTCTCCTCTCTCCTTCAGTACAGCAGAATAATATACTATTCCATACACAATGCCCAACCTTTATTAATGCTAATACACAGCTTCAATGTGATAAACTATCACATACATCACCAATATTATACAATATTCCAAAATCCCCTGTGAAGAGCTGCATTATCAGCAGTATCATATAAGAACAACAAGTTCAGCAGATGGGGAACTGGAAGCAGCTTTCTTATTTCAAGGAACGGTTTTCCTGAAAGTGGGGTCAGCTACTATGAACTAAGTGGATCAACACACACTAAATAGCATTTACTACCTGTGCAAACAATCTCAGGTTCCCTTCCTGCTCCTGACCTTTAGAAAGCAATTTGAAATTACAATATCAAACAACTGATCTGAATGTACAGTACTTTTATTTGACATGAGCACTAGGAAAAATGTCAGGTGTTTCTTGTACTGGGAATTAAAGCTCAAGGACAAATGTCACTGTTCTATATTAGACATGCCCTAAAAATATAATAATAAGTTTCTATGGTATGGAGCTGTGAGCGAGGAATATCTTTACTACAGATATTAAAGGAAAGTGACATTTCAGAGAATAATGAGAGTAACAATTATACTACTTTCATAATAGTTCATCTTTAAATTAAATAAATATTTAACCCCGAGAAAACATCAGGTTCCCTTGAAATATGCAGGAGATGAGCAAAATCTTATCCTTTTTGAGATGAACTACAAAAGCAAAATATACACGAATGAAACATTTCTTTGCTGTACACTTGTTAAGAAAATAAAATTGAAAGATCACATTCAGCACAGAAGTAAATTTACCTAAAATTCTTTAAAAAGTTAATGAGAAATCTTTCTTCTTCTGATTTACCAAAGATCTATCAGTATGCTTCATTTGCAGACAATTCACATGCTACAGATGATAAGGATTTCAAAGAAACTGCTGTTATTTTCGTTGTGAGACCATCAGGAAAGCTGGAAGCATCCACATATTTTCATATAATTTTAAAGAGGTAAGAGTTTACAGTTCTGCTCTTTTACGAATATACCCCACCACATGGTTGGAATACTGCGTTTAATTTAATTTCTGCTCTATGGTTCACCTGGTAAACAGACCTCCTAGGGCAGGAATAACAAATATTTTACTTAAGTTCTGCATCAGTGAAGTCAACAGATGTTCTGCAAATTGTTTATACGGACACAGCATCAGATCTTAAGATGCTATCAGAGGAGACTTACTACAGAATCTGAGTGGCGACTTTCAAAAACTCCATGTTACTAATACAAATACAATTATATAGCAGAGATTGTGAGGTGAGCACAATCTACAGAACGTTAAAAAGGAAAAAAAAACCTCTGAAGGATTTTTTTTTTTCTTTAAACTTAACAACAGTTCATTTTCATGCTTCATTGCTGTGATCCTCTTTTACAGTGCAAATAAACAAATAGCATCTTTTGGCTCAAGACTAGATATTACTAAATGTATCACTAATTAGTTAAAATTTGGAAGTAGCAGAATCAGAGGTACAATATTGCATTTTGAATGCCAGAAATTTAAAAACAGCTCCCAAAATAGTACAAGATACATAATTTATAAAATTCAGTACCCTGCTACATGGTGCAATCCAATAACCAATGGCTAGAAATGGTAGGCCCAATGCCACAACCAGCACAACCAGACACTTGATAGCTATGGTCTGCTCCCGTAATCCTGAGAGATTTTCATACCAGATAGTCAGTAGCTGTTGCTGACAGTTTGGATGGGCCACAAACTGTAAAGAGAAAGAAAGAAAACCAAACATGTTATAAGAAGAGTTATATAAACTGCTACATACATGATCATGATCACTTTAAATATCTGGTGTTGATTTAGACCTTAAGAACCATGTTTTTTCTCCTTTCCATTAAAATAAAGGTTAATAAATAAAGAAGAAACTGCTGAGCTGATTTAAAGCAGCACTTTGGGGACAAGGTTGCACACGTGGGCAACCACTGCCAATAGAAGCCTTTTATGCATCATTAGAACAGCTTCACATACCCGACCGCATCCTGTCAGAGTTGAACCTCAGTCCTAACTTCCAACAATTTCTCAGCAAATCAAGCTGATCCAAGGTACATGCAGAATTTCTGCGAAGACTGAAAATTCTGGTCTGACCGTAATCCAGTTAGCCTCTCCCCTTCCTGCACACACTCTTCACAGACCTCGTCAAACATCACTGCCATTTGATTTCATTCTTTGAGAAAGGCTCCAAATACCTCCTTAACCATCTATATATTTCCAGTCTAAAACCTATCGAGGCAAGAAATAAATGAAGCAAAAGTACAGCACGGAATTTTAAACCTCACTAGAACACACAGAGATGAATATTAAAAGGGTTTCTTCTCTCTTACTACCATCAATGGTCCTAGCTATCACCTTGACTTAGATGTACTTGGGATTTGAAAAATAATCAGAAGCCACTTACTAAAACCACATTTTTATGTTTTGTGGAAAGTAAAAGTTAGCATTCTGTAATACAAGGAAATTCCATTTTGTGAACCAGATGAAAAGATGATCTTATGGTTTTAATGATGCTCTAAGGACTCTGTAAGAGATTGTATTTTGCTGTACAATTTTGTATTTTCTCTAAGTTCATGCCTCTGATACTATCTCAGCTGAAAAATATTAAATGCTCAAATCTGACAGTTTTCAAAAATAACTTTTCCTTTTTCACTATTTTAAGATTTTAAAGGACCCTGAATGTACAGATTGTTATCACTATACAGTCTTATGCTATTCTTTGTGTTTTAATGAGTTGTTAACAGCTTAACAACACACTGCAGAAGGCTCAAATAAGATTTGAGGTGTATACTTTAACTAAAAATATAAACATTTCAGTGATTTCTGAGCAAGATAAATTTATTTTTAATTAATTTCTTTATGAGATGTTCCTTTTATCTTTGCTGATTAGTTTACATTATTATTTATCAATATTAAGTATTTGCTCATTTATTTCTAGCACAGAAGGACTAAAAGGTATCAAACATAACAGAGGAAACCACAAGAGTAGATGTGTACAAATATCTGAATAAATATAGTGTCGGATAAAATGACCAAAAGTTGACATATTCAGGCATCTAAACAAGAATGTCCTGATTGTCCATAGTCTAAGCGTACACAGCTACCACCGAATTTCAATTCACTGAATGTCAGGCCATTTTTGGAACATTCAACCCTACATCTAAATTTTGGTATTTAGTTTTCTTTTACCCAGACATGGACACGTGAAAGATGATTTTCGAATATACTTACACTCTTTTGACCTAACTTTGATGCCCATTGAAGTCAATGGTAAAATTTCAACTGACCTTAACTAAGCATAGCCAAGACATCATCAAGGACTTTTGTAACCAACTGCTTTAAAATGGGGGGTGTGGGCTGTGAAGCCAAACAAATATCAAGACAAAAAAAATAGGGTATCAAGTGAATTTATCAGGAACTAGTCACAAAAAGACAATCAGACAAGTGGAAAAATAGGCTTAGGATTAACACTCAACTTCTCAGTTGCTCTCCTGAGCCTTTTGTATAAGTTTCGTTTGTCCCTAGCTTCCACTAATTATTCCTTAAGTGTCCCAAAATTGAAAGGGAGAAGAGATTGAAATGTTAAGATACTAAACTGGCACGTATTAAGGATCTAGTATCCACTAAAAAAAACCAAAACCACACAACAAAAAAAAAGAAACAACAAAAAACCCCCAAGCCATCAACTTCCATCTTTATCCTCTGCAGGAAATACATGCAAATGTTATTTTCCTAGCTTCAGTAAGATTTCAGTATGTTCACAGGGAAAGGGAATGATTCCCAAATTAATTATGGAATGACAAAACAAGCTGCTGCCAACAACTGCATTTGTTTAGATATGCTTTACCAAAATCACTTTAGGTCGAGTTTGTTGAAGGGTGAGTATGTATTGCTCTGTTTTTAAAGCACTGTTGTATTTCTTTAGGATGAAGCAATGTGGCCACAGGAGACTGCGCAGCCACGCCGTCAGGATCATGTCGTGTAACCAGGAGTGTGTAGCCCATGTTGGGTCCTGCTACTGAAGAAACAGAAGGGGTGGGAGGGAAGAAGAATTCTATAGCTCCTGATGTTTTTTGCCCATTATATTTACACTTCTGGTTAAGTCCATTTCTAAAGTGTTATCATACTCATCATTATCACTGTTACTATTATACCACGTCCTGTGAGACTGTCACATCGAGAGCATGTGAGAAACTAGTTATGCACAAGGGTAAACAGCCTAGTTATCACAGCAATGTGAAGAAATCCAGTAACATACTTGTCACATTGGTTGACAATAACTAGTAAATAGGAGTAAAGAATGCTAGGTAGTTTCACAAAAGTGATTTGAAAATAATTCTGATAACTCTGATAATCCATGCTGGATTAAGAGTGAGATTTGATCTGAGTTGCTTATACTTTTTTTAAAAAACAAACAAACCAAACCCACCAAGCAAAACCCTGGATATCCATTTTACTATCCCTTGTGCTCTGTTGAGATCATAATGTCCTACACACACAGTTGTTCCTGCAAAACTCCATTTATATTCCAAATCTCATTAAAAAGTGCATACAGTAGCACAAGAGGGCAGACTTCTTAAAAAAAAATCAAATTAAATCATTGGCATTGAAAACGAGGATTCCTCTCAAGAGGAGGAATCTGAAGCTGTTGCATGAACTTTAAAAAAGGGAAGCAATCTTTGTATTTTAATCTACTTTGTTCTAAAACGAAAGTTCCAAAGTACTTTGGTGTGTGATTCATTAACCAGTTAGATCACATATTAATGCAGTTTGTAACTATATTGGAATAGCCAACAGAAATAAATAAAAATATTTTAAAAGTCTTTTAAGGAATTAATGTCAACTTGAACTATGTTTGTATTCTTTTTATGAGGGTGTCACCTTTGATGCTTATGCTCCATAAAAACTGCCAGCCTGGCCCATTAGAAAAAAAAAAAAAAAAAAAAAAAGAGTGTTTTTTGTGCGTTTCTGCATTCTGACATACACCCCCAGTCTCTTCTTTTGCTAAGATAAATTTTATTCTCAACTCAGGACATCAAGGGACAAATCCCACGGCAGATTAACTGTGACCAAAGACAGGAAAGTAAATAATTATTTCAAATTACAAAGACATTTTTAAAAAGCAGGCTTAAAATCATAAGGAAGAGGAGAGAGAAGAAACACCCACACCACTCCTCTTATTACCAGGGGGAATGGGAAGAAAGAGCAAAGGAGCTTTAAGGGAGTTCACCTAAGGCTATGAATCAGCCCACGGGCCCTCCTGCATCTCATCCAGAGCTGTATGCAGGTTTATTCCTCCTGGTCTATCAACGTTTTGATGTGACGCTAAGAGGAGATCTGGCTGTGCTATAATTTTCCCTCAGAAAATGGAGGAGTTAATGAATAAGATGCCAATGGTTATGGCAAGTTTTTCTCTGGCAGTAAGTCTAAAGGCTCTTGAGAAGATCTTAGCAACTTATTTAACTGTTGGCAACTGCACAATACGCACCACTTCCAAGCCCTCAGAGAAACTCATGTCACTTCTCTCATCCATAAAAGCTCTGAAATTCATCCTTCTCTCTGGCTGTGCTAAAGTATCTGAATTTATGATTATGTTGCTTTTATTTTCAGCAACTGCACCCTCTTCTATGTTTTTGGTTCCCCCCTACCTCGCCTCCCCATATATCTGTCTCCCCCTCGCCCCCCCAGCTTCACCTCCTCCAAGGACAGTAGGTTCACATCATGTTTCACCTACTAATCACATCATCCTACAACTTTGTTCCTTCTGCTTTTCTCTCATCCTACTTTCCATGCAGTTTCTTACTTTTCATTACACATCTTATTATCACATTTATCTAATATTGCAGGATCCAATCCAAACCCCAGTGAATAACAAAGATGCATGAGGGCAGTATCTGGTCACTAAAAATCCCAATTTTAATTTAGCTGCTTTTCCAGGCATAATTGACTGCAACACTTCAGAGGTATTCAGTTTCACGACCATGAATCAAGTCGTCATTACAAAAATATTTGTCTGTATTCTTAAGAGTGATTATAATGTTATTTATTCCTAACATCCTAATGACTGAGTTTAGACATAGACAGAACAGATCCTGGCACACTCTGATACACAGGCACACAACATACAAAGAGAATTTTGAACATTCGTTCTTATCTACTGATTCAAAACTTCAGTGTTTGAAAATTAAATTAAATCCTGTGATTTTACTCAAACTCTTACTGATTTCACTTGGAAATTCCATTCTGATTTTTATCTCAGCAAGAACTGCAGAACTTGGCCCAGCATCAGCACTTCTCTTATATTTTGCTGGCAATCTAAAGACAGAGTTAAGATACAATACTAAAAGCACTACTGCAGCAGCAATTCAGCATACAGAGCAAGGCTACTTGCTCTAACTAGTTTTTCTTGCTTTTTAAATTCCCTTAGTCCTTCACTATTGCGAGTACAGTCTCAGTTTGAACCTTAGCTTCAAAATCACATCATCTTTACAAGATGGGCTACACTTTAATGCAGTGCCTAGGGTACTAAGTGCAAGAGTTTCATTACTAATAGAATTTAAAACTCCATTTCCCTAGCATTGAACTTCTGAGCACATTTGCTCACTTGTCATACGCTTTTTCCTGTCTCTCCTTCCTCTGAAAAAGGCATTAACCATTTCATGGACCTGCAGTTCTGTTTGGCTGTACTGTTTGCAACAGTGAACTGACCTTAATGTAGCTGACACAGAAGCACAGCTAGAAATACCGAAAGCTAAGAAACACAAGCCACATCCTTGTCTGCTTCCTACAGTTACAGGGTTGGAAGCATCCCACGTGGAGTTCCCACATCTGCATCTGTTCTACAGTCAGAATATCGCTATAACCTGCCACAGTGTTAACGGAGCTGATCCCAGTATCAAAGGACCACCATGGCAGAGAGCTTCCCTGGCTCAATCCTTGTCATGCCTCCGTAATGGCCATTTACAGGGAACAGTGCATCTATGAATACAGTAACAACTCTGCACCATCTATTTATTTCCTTCCACCAAGATCACTAGTCTTGTAGGTTTTGAACTGTATTTGCCACAAATCAGAGCCAAAAACTTTGAGTTTATCTACAAATAATCTCTTGCAAGAGAAGAGAACAAGTTTGCTACATGGAACTGTCTCTTTTTCCACTATGTAGATTTTTGTTATTCTTAACGGACCTGCGTGGCTCTTTGCTCAGCAATGAATTTCACCAGTGATAATGGCTGCTTAGAAGAAAAATGCCGTCTTCAGCAAGAAAGCCGAGACACAAGTCTCAGCAAAGGTTTGGTACACATTGAAATGCAACAGCATAAAAAACTCATATGTTATTTAGCTATGACAACATGTTCATGCATTTTGATTCTTTCCCTGTTCCATTCTTTTTAATTAATTTAATACTTGTATATATCCACCTTGAATTTTGGTAATTAATATGCATTTATTTGCTGTAGACCAATTCTATATTGGAAACAATGACTTGCTGTTTGGGATCTGCATTTACAATTTTTGTTAACCATCTTTTGGGGACATAATAACCACTACCATTTCCCAGTTCTTCTGGCAGGTTGCTTACAATTAATTTTACATGGCAGATTGGCTCAACAGGTGGCCACAGAATAGTGTTATTTATTCTGAAAGACACAAGACTTCTCGTAGAGATGATGAAACTATAATGGCTGTTAAGAATGGAACTGATGCTAGCCATGTAAATAGGTAGCTGTAAATAATACATAGGCATTGCTGTTTCTTGATTCCTCTCACAGCAGGACACAGTATTCACTATTTTCTGTGCTAGCGTAGTGGGATCTTGAAGAGAACAACATAGCTATATATTGAAAACTACTAAGATAAATGGATAACTATTATGTTAAATGCGTGATACACAGCTCCATTTTTCAACACATAACATTCATTCACAAAATACCTGTTCATTAAAAATTACTTTGAGAGAGGCATCACTGAAAACACATTGCACTTTACAAACAACGATAAATGCAGGTGTAAAGATGAAGAACTGAAATGAACTAATTAACTTGTCACAAATACATTCCATACATTTTCAGGACTGCATTTTAAAATATTTTTAAGGAACACACATGGTAAATCATGTAGAATTTCTCACTACAATCCACACAGCTGCAGATAAGCTGTTTGATTTACTGTCACATTTTAAAATAAATTAAGAACTAATATACTTAATGACAACTTAGATGTTCTCTTCCCTCTTTCAAAGTAGTAAAAGGGAGACTTCTCTCTCAAAAAAACCCACACAAACAAAAACCAAAAAACCCCCCCAAAACACTCCCTATGTGTTGATAAGAACACTAGTAGAAAGCTGCAAGACTGACTTCCCAGAATTTACTTGCTCAATTAAGTTACTTAAGGTAGAGAGCAAAGATAACAAAAAGAAATAATGAACAGACCAGACCTTTTTATTGTTTGAAACCAACACTTTCACCAATAAAGCCTTCTCTTTGGATTAGATATTATCACACAGACTGGCAGGAAGACACATCCTGACTTTCACTGAGTGAAAGTCTGGCTCCACTGAAATGTCTTATTTTGGATTAATCAGGAGAAGGATCTGACCAACTGTTTATAACCTTGCTAGCATAGCTGATTTATGTCACATTTATGTCCTGCCAATTCTCAGCTGTGGAAAGTAGGTTAAACTAAACTCCTTCACTGTAGTTCCCCCTTCAGCCATCTTCTGCCTTCTGAGGATCTCGATTGCCCACACTATGTCTCAGTAACGCATCTGACCACCGGTTCATAACACCTGTGGAATAACGAGATCACACTGCATTGCCATTAGACTCTCTGAAAGCACTGGCTACGAGGAGTTACCTTTTTGACTTCATACTTAATGGCCAGCTTCACACGGCTCAGTGATGCTCTGTGCCTCTGTGCTTCAACTGGCTCAGAGTTTAAATCCCCGTTCAGAATGGCCTCCACTTCTTCCGAGTCTCGGCAGAGATCAAGAACACCAACCACAAAATCCTTGCACTGCATAGACAGCTTGCGGTAGTCATTCTGAAACAGAAGGGTTACAGAAAATGGCCCATGACGAACATGCTTAAGAGTCAACGGCAAGGAAAAAAGAACCTGTACAAGTTGCAAAAAATTAACAGTGTTTGACTTTTACATACTATGTCAAGTTAGAAGTGTATCAGACATTACAGAATTTTTGTATAGCTGAATCATTTCTTCACTGACACATTGGCCACTTGAACAGAAGATGACAACAGCTGTTTAACAGAGCATGGGAACATCATGTAATAGCATGATGAAAATAACCTGGATGGGCAGTAAGGGGAAGTGAAATGGACCAATAAGAATTACACAAACAAACCAGGACCACAAGTCTTGAAATACCAACCTCTCCCTTGCAAAAACTTTGCATACAATTATTGAAATAATTCTTAAAGGGGTGCCTCCCAGGATATAAATATATTTCTGCTCTTTCTACACTGCTAAAATGGCTGCTTACTCTTTACTCTGATGTATGCCGTATGCATTTCCCCCATTTCCCACTTACTGTTGGAACCTCTTCATACCCAACAAGGTGTACAGTGGGTTACAAAGTAACTGCATAGAATAACTGTGGCATGAACTTGGACACTCGTGTCGTGGGCAAAATACCCCAAATTTCCTGCATAGGTAACAGAGAAACCAGCTGCTTTAAAGGACAGGTCAAAGATACTAGACTCCCGAGTCATCCTCTAAGAGACGACCTTACCACTGACAACACAGCTGAACTACAGAGAGAACATTTCTGAAAATCACAACCCTTTCAGAGCTCTGTCCACCTTTCCCTTCCTCTCCCTCTCTCCTTCACTTCCCTGACTATATCTGCCACAAACCATTCCTTTTCTGAAAATCACCTATTACTTTAATCTCCATCTTGTTTGTTCTTACTCCATCAGCCTTCTCTTGCATTACTGCTGGAGTCAACAGTTCTGCCTGCGTTTGCGTTACCTTCTGAAAGTACATAAAGCCAAAGTACATAAATCCTATTCGGATTCTTTTCAGAACCTAATCTTCTAGTAAAGGACTTCTTTTTCTCCCTCACTGCTTCCATTTTTGCATAGTATCATTGGCCACTTCCAGACTTGTAGCTTGTATAGCTGTGAAGTCTTACTGTGTCACATAGAAAAAACAAGTACTTTTTTCTGGTCCTTACTCTCTCTATCTTTCCTCCGCCGCCTCCAACTCTTCAACACTTTGGGACCGTGTCCTGAGTTATGCCCATGTGCTGTGACCCTTCCTGTGCAGCTATTAAACTACTGCATCTAGGGTGCAGTGGTACTGTTTTTCGCTACCTTCATACCTTATGTCTGGCACGCTGCTCCCAAGTTTCATGCTCGTCATCCTTCAAGCAAGCTTATGTCGATCTCTGAGGTGCTACCTTTAAACTTCACAGTTGCTCATATATGTCAACATCGCAAAAATTTCCATCTATCTATTCTCCTCTCTCTTCTGACAAAACATTTGTGGCTACATTTCAAAATTTTAAGATAACTCTGTAGAGCGTGCACATGTGAATCTTTGCTTGCACTTTTCTTTATGCTTGTATATGTCTTTCACCACCTCTGTGACATTACCCATAAGCTCTAAGATGATATCTACTTCAGCAGAAACCCTGGTCTTCATTTATGTGTCCGTGTCCTCTCAGCTAGATTTCTAGAACTTCTTTATCTGAGATGCAGCCTCTGATTTCCTCACACGAGGTTACAGCTGCAGGAGGAAACTTGGCTGAACCTGATAATTTTACCTTGTTGTATCAAGCGTTTCCGTGTCCAACTGAAAATAGCAGAGCCTTCCTTTTCAATTACTCCACAGCTTTTCTTTTTTTTTTCCCCACTAGGCCATCAGAAAACTAGTCTGAGTCCTCCATCTCTCCATTTTTGTGCATTGATTGTTCATTTTCAGCCACTGCCTTTCTCAAGTCACTTTTGGGGGGTACAGATTTTTCCTTTGTGGTTCCTGACTTCTCAAAAATGCTTCCTTAGTGCTTCTGCCCTCACAATTTTATCTCTTACTTTCAAATATTATTCCCCAAACCCTCACTTTTTCCCCCCTTGCCTAAGTAACTTTTACCTACTTATACTGCTAGTTTTGTTAAATTTTCAACTTAGCACCAATAAAATGGGATAGAGAAACTAACATGCCTCAGTAGTTCCAAATTATTTTGGGAAAAGGTGGGAAAAGAGGCTGCATAGGATAACTGCACGGATCAGCTATCAATTTCATTGGTCAGATTCAGATATTAATCAAAATGAAACATTACTGGGAGACAAACAAATACTACTAGGAATCCTGTTATTATGGAAGAGTAACATACCAGATACAGACTTGGAAACAACCAGTCCTAATCATAGACATAAACAGGACCCAGTTATTTCCTTTGGTCATAGACGACAAATTAATTGAGTTGCCAGTGAACCAACAGGATGTAAGGTTATTTTAGATTTGGTTTTGGTAACCAAGGAGAACAGTACAGAAGAGCCAATTATAAAAATAATACTGAGATGCATGATTAAAATCAGTGAAAGGATAAGTAAGCACATATATGACTAGGATTTAGGACTTTTAAAAAGGCAAAGTCTCGTAAGAAAGCTAATTAAGGGAGTGAAACATAAGCATGGACGTCAGAATGCAGAGAAGGCTTTTAAGTAAAAGATGTGAAGGTGATTAGACATCAGATCCTTTAAAAACCTTGCAGAGGATGACTCTAGAATAGAGTGGCTAGAATAGCAGTATTAAAAAAGACAAAGGGGAAGACTCTTTCTTGACAGTCTAGTCAAGAAAGGAAGTTTCATCATAGAGGCCAAGAACTACAAGTATAAACTGCTAGAAGTCAGGCTTGTAAAGGATATTAAGCAAAGCACAAAGAGGTAAGACAATTTAAAAATAAGATGGGGATTTGCTTCAGGGAAGACTTGTCAAGATTTACCTCTGCAGGTCTTTACTTACTTACATATTAGCAAACCAAATTTATCTCAGTCTACTTGAGTGCTTTACAGAATTAATCAGACAAACACTACCCACATTGTAACCACAGGACCCAATTCTCAAACAATCTTCTACCTCTAGGGTGTTGTGTGACTATCAGAAACCAGCATCTGTGGTCTCAGTCATCCACACATACTTCTGCTTACTCTTGAGAACATACAAATGAAGCCATCAGATCACTCATCTCTTCTGTGTCCTAAACAAGGCTACCAGAACTCCTGTGTGAAGCATCCAGGTTTGAAAAGCTCTGCTACACACTATGCAAGTTGCCAATTTGTTAACGTGAAGGTAATCTTCAGGGGAACACCAGAGTAAGGCACCGATAGACCTGCTTATACAGTGGAGCTCTTTTCCTATTTTTTATCATAATACAGGGATTCTGCTTCCTTGATCAATAAAGTTGTTCTTCAATTAATTCACAACCTAATTCAGCTGGTTTTACTAGCTATATCACCTTCAATGATATCTCTTTTAAAAAAAATTGATGGTTACACTAGACATCTTTGTAACATCAAAAATATCAGCCTGTATTCTGCATTTCAGAGATACCGTAGCTGACACTGGTACCTAATGGACAACTGATGATGACTGCAATTGCAGAACTGTGTCTCACGAGCAGTTTCGGAGGACTCTGACACACATCAATGGTTGAATTGCAGCCTGCCCAACTCTGCATATTCTGTTCTCACTCATAACATTAAAGACTACCTTGTGAGTTCATCTAGAATTTTTACAAAGAACATATCAATCTGTGTGCAAAGAATGAGCATACGAACAAAAAATCTTCAGCTGATTTCATGCATAAATTTTTTAACTATTCCAAAGAAAATTTATATTGAGTAATCATATGCAGTCAACCAAAATGTATAGATCTGTTTTCTATTATGAGAGCCACATTCCTGTAAGCACCAGTTTGTGACTATGCACAACTGCCTAACTAGTTCACACACATAACGTAAATCTACGATTGCATGTAAAGTATTACGTATTAAATGGCCATTCTGAGATCATGTATATAGTCAGTTTGCATATATAACTGCAGGAACTGTATATGCAAATCAAGCACATAATTGCAGTAATGATTATGGATCTGGGCCCTGTCCTTTTAAAAGTTGGACCTAAACATAGATCAAGCTTGAACACTCTTTGTTAGTTCAGCTGAGATAACACTATGTAAATTTACTTGGAACAGTGACAGACTCCACTTTTAGATGCAAGTCTACATCCTCCGTTGGTTTCAGTTGAGCTTTTAGCAAAATTGGGAACAGGAACTTACCTATATAAAGCAGGACTACAATCTTTTTGATCCTTGCTATGATGGACCAAATTCTGACACGCTATCAGCTAGTGCAATTTCAGCTGGGAGAACTGAGCTTGCTTACACAGGAGAGTATTTAGTTGAAAGCTGGTATACAGAGACTACCATGTGGCTTTTTAGCTACCTTGTCTTGTTTGTTTTTTTTTTTTTTTTTACGGTGACTCCAAGGGAAAGTTCCATCAGCTGTTCTGACTGCTAGAAATTCTCCCATCACTGTGCAGTAACAGTTTTAAAGTTCTCAGGGAGGAAGGTAAATATCAATTAACTTTAGTAAGTCACATCAGTCACAGTGGCCAGGGTCTGCTAAAAACAGAAGAAGAAAACATAAAAATTGGGAATACTTGCATTGCGATCTATTTTGTGGCGCTACTGGAATTGGAATACATGACTCTCCAACTATGGTAATGAACACTTTTTTTTTTTTTTTTTTACATTAAGACAACATACAGTTCCAGACTGAGCTTCCCTAGCCAGTCTATCAGGTATAAAGCAGTACACCTCAGATCTCCCAACCACTCAAAGACAGATGCCAACAGAACACCACTCCATAACTTTTTCTAACTTAACAGATTTTGTCCTTTTCAGCAAAAGAAAGGAATTGAACCAGCAGATTTGACACATTTTGAAAACACGTTCTGATCAGGCACATTGGTTATAAAAGCCCTTATAAATATCAAAATTGGTGATGAATCCAGGAGTGAAGCAGAAATCTGGTTTTGCATCTTAGACATAGAACATCATCAACAATGCTGCTTGCTTTCTAGTTTTCTTTACTACATATAAAATACCCCTAGAAACCTGACAGGAGAGAATCCAATCAGTTGCTTTAAGAGACTGAAATTTGGTGTGATAGCAGTAGGTATGGAAGAGTGAAGGGTTTTTTCACGATTTGGTAGTAGTCTTGACTCAGAAAAAACAAACTGAAGTTTCTAACGTCATCTGAAATCCTACTGTCAATCCCTGGAATGGGGACTAGGATCACCAAGGTAAGAGAAATACTGTAGTTCTTGCCCTGGCCACAGGGATGATATGTTGCTACACTGGCCACTAAAATGATGTCTTGCTGCTTTGGCAGCCAGGCACTGATAATCTCTGCTGTTCCCTTAGCTGGCTTCCAGACCCAAAGAGCAGTCGCCACCGTGTTCAGACAAGTCAGCCATGCTTTACCAAGACTGGAAAATGCAATAAGGAACCTAAAGGGAAGAAGATAGAGAGTGGAAAAAAAAAAAAAAACAGTAAAGAAAATTAGGCGAGCACTTAGAAGGGAGACAAGAAAAAAGGAAATCCAAAGAGGGAACTGAATAGAAGAAAACAAGTGGATACAAAGAACACAAAGGGCTAACAGTGTCAAGAAGAAACTACAACAAAATAGATGAAGAAGAGCAAAAGGAGCAACAGGAGTTTGGAACAAGGATCTCGCAAAGGAATAGGAAGTAAGGAGGCTTGAGGATTAAAGAAGCAGAGTCAAATGGTCTTTAGGGTTCCAGTTTCCCCATCTATTTTTACTCATTTTCAGTACTTATTTTTGGCTATGCGTCTTGTATCTTCCAGGAAAAATGAGGGCTCACTGGTTTCTTTGAATCCTTTCTCCTTACTTCTGAAGGGAAAATTAAAAAATTAAAAATCAATGTAATTGGTAAGTTCTTTTAATATTCACGGGGAACTGACTGTCATGAATGAACGTCCTAAGTCACCTTCCCATATTTCTAATACACTTGCGCAAACTCTGGTTTGCACACGAACATCAGAATTCGTTAGTGTAAATCATAAGGGATAGAGACAGCCTGGACTTTGCATACGCAAAAGATGTAAGGTTCAATTTAGCAAGCATTTACTAGGAAGTTTTGCCTCAGGCATTTTTAAACAGGTTCACCCTACATTCTTTCTTTGTGGGAAAACCACCGAGAGAAATATTTTCTGTACAACTGCTCCACACCCGGGAAGTGCATTGCTGCAAGCGTGCACAGGAAATGCTGTGAGCCCTAATGTACCGTAGATACTAATAATAAATCATGAATGTCATCAAAAGTCCCTTTAAACAGATCTGTCCATTTTTTGTGGTAGACAAACTATTTTGTCCATTTTTCTTTACCCTGAAACAATTCTGCCCAGTGTTGTGCTATAGACTCAATTGGATTGGAATTCTTAAGCGTTTCCAGTGATGATCCTAAAGGAGAGTGCACCAGAAGTCTATCAGTCGTTCTGCCTCACAGGGAGTGCAAATGTCGGACTAGAAGCCTTCTCCTCTGGGAGATGATAAAGCACACAGTTATTAGCAAAATAAATTCAGATGACATACCCATAGAAAAGAAAGTACCAAACAGTTATAAATGGGACTTACATCAAATGGGGCAAGCTCTCACAATGGACTTTTGTAAGACACAGAAGTGCTGCTTGCTTTCTCCTTGATCTACCTCTACAGTTGTCAGTGCAGCATCTCATGATACATCCACGCCAGGAGCAGCCCCATCATACCTGCCCACAGCCCCAGTGGAATATAGAGTCTTCTCATCAGTCATGCAATTACAGTCCTTCCTGGACTTGGTTTAATACTGATGCTAAAAAATTCCTTGCCTCTTCCTTTTTCCTCCTCCCTCCCTCCCTCTTCCACTACTCTTTCTCCCCAGAAGGGCAGCCAACCATCGATGCCAGAGGGAAACAAGCAACTCTCCTACCAGGCTTGGTAGAAACAGAAAGAACTCCTTGAGACGCATAAGAATCAGAAGGAAAAAGAGATAGATGTGAGGTCAATGAGGAGAATAATTACTTCACCGGAATGTGTTGCTGTTCATGAGAAGCTGGAATTTCCATGCCAGCAAGGAGCCAGGAACAATTTCTACCGTAGATGCCAAAACCGAATTATGTTATACACCTGGCAAGGTTATCAGCCCTGTAAGTGCTATCCAAAATACTGAAATCTGTGAAAATAGTGGATTTCTCAGGTTCGTAGGCATCGCAAAATATCAATGAATAGAGGCTAAACACTTGAGAAAAAGAAAAAAAAAAAAAGAAGAAAAAATTGGAAACCAGAATATTTTATTCTGTGACAATTTAACATTTTAAAAACTGAAGTAATTTTTTTAAGTTCTGGTTTGAAATGAGAAGTCAAACCAAAAGACATTGCTTCTTCTCATCCAAAATTTCAAGCTATTTTGTTTCCGATGAAATTTGTACTCATGGTATTAATATCTGTGATACAGGAGCTTCCCATGAATTTGTATTTTTACTGAAATTTTTCTACTCAGTTCTAATAAACTACATCCTCCCCTTACAAAAACATGTTACAGCTTCCCTTAATTCAGCTTTTGGTGGCAGAGATTGTATTTTGGGTTCCTAGGGAGTTGTGTAACACTTAAATTGAGTCCCTAAGCCCACCAGTGTTTCTGAACACAGCTATAACAACAAAATTGGTATACAGAACCACAAAGAAAAAGATGGATGGTAGAGTTTCTAGGGTGCCAACCCAGAAGAAAAGTTCTCTAAGAAACTGCAGGAGGGGAAAAAAAAAAAAAAAGGGGAGATGAGAAATGTTTGTATCCACAACCACTGAAGTGTTAGTCACAAAATCCATAAATCTCCGTCTTGAGCACACGGTTCTGGACACCCTGTGGCTCTCAGGTTGTTGGCCTAGTTAAAAAGGAATCAATGATAAACAGGACTGAGTTACACACATCAGAGATTTAACCCTCTATAACGGTCTCTAAATGAGGCACATAACTGTAATTCATTGTGTGAAGCACACACACCAACAGGCTCTGTGCATATGATAAAATACTCTAATTCTTCAATTTTATGTTCACAAAGAGCTTTCCCAGGTCAATACTTTTTTTAGAAAAAAAGAAAAATCTGACATCCTTCCTAAACTCCTGAATAAATACGTTGAGGAAGTATTCAATCCGTTTGCCAAATTACATAATATGCAGCATGGTATGAAGGGGTTCCTTCAGCAAAGGAAGGAGAGGAAAGGTTTAAGCTGGCTTTTACACATTATTAGTGTGTGGTATAACATGTGAATCCTCCTCAGGATGGAAATCTTATTTTTGAATTATGTTTTAACCCATTCAGCTATATCTGGAGCTATTCTTTCTCAGGAGACTAAAACTGTTTCTTTCTCTTCTGGTAAAGTTCACTTGACTAATTTCTGCCTGCATTTCTCCAGGTTGTTGTATATTTCTTCTGAGTACTCCATAGTGTTAGCAATGCTTGCTGTTGTTTGAAAAGGTTAATGCATCTTCTGCCTCTCTCAGATCATTTATGAAGATATTAAACAAACAACTGGTACCCAGCACAGACCATGAAGAACCCCATTAAATTTTCTTTTAAAACTACACACAACGCTGTTGATATTGCTATTCACCGAACAATCTGTCATTCCTCAAGCCGAGCTTTTCTTATTACACGCAGTCTAGTGCGGTTTGATTTTTTTGTGGG